ACTAATAAAATTTAATAAAAAAAAAACTAAAAAAAAACAAACTTCTTGATGGTAAAAAAACAGAAACAAAAACAAAAAACCAACAATACTAGAAACATAATGTGGTCACAAGACTATAAAAGAGGATGAAATTTAAAGCTTACTATATATCTTATAACATACATCTTGGGGATAAGCTACAGATGTCTCCTAAAGTTTCTTGAAAGCAAACAATATTGTCTTCTGATGGCCTAAAAGGAAAGGTGCTGTGCTGCTAACCAGAAGGTACTTGGTTCAAATCTACCAATTACTCTTCTGGAGAAAGATGGACAGTCTCAGTTTTCTGCTTTTGAGAGTCCACTGGAGCATCAGCTGTAAGTTGATTGTGACTTGATAGCTCAAAGCAATAGTTAATATCTGCCTTGATCATGAAGGGTGTCTTCTAGGGCCCTCTCATGCCATGCTGCCACCTTGGCTGCCAGGAAAAGTTCAGCTGGTCTCTTCGTCTCAGTCTGCTCCTTTGACAGTGTCAAGAACACTGACTATGAGGCACATCCTTAAGCATCCCTAGGTTATTTAAAAAATCTTCACCATCTGCAAAACTACTGTTTATTAGAGAAGACGTGCTTAGGAATGTAAGCAATATTTGTTTTCCTTTTTAGTTAGAGAACAGAAAAAAAAGTAATACGTAAATTCCCCATTCTAAATTCCTACAGGGGACTGTTGCATCTACAGCTGAGTTTACTTTTATTTAATGTTAGTTGTTTTCAAAGAATGATGTACTAGGAATTAAGAGTTTTAAGAAATGGAACATACAGGTATTTTTTTCCCCCAACATTTGGCCCTCAGTACAATGGAAAACAACTGGGATATTTTAGCTTTAACTAATTTTTTAGCCTCTTTCATAGAATGAAATGTTGGTTGTTATTATATCACAAAATTTAATGTTAAAATGAAAAGAATTTTGACTGTTACAAATGCTTTTACATTTAATTCCATGATTGTTTACCAAATTTTCCTTTTCAAATATTGTGCTATAAGTGTAAGCTCAGAGAGAACCTGGTTTTTCATTCAATTATCCATACAACTGGTTGCTATTTTAAATTAGTAATACTCTCACTGCCATCAAATGACAACCAAGCTGATCCTCCAGTGGGTAAATCATATGAGAGACTGTTCATCTTTCTCCTGCAGAGTTACCAGTAGATTCAAACTGCCAGAGAGGCATTACCATTGAGTTAGCAATAAAACTCTCTACAGGCTATGTTGTTGTTGTTGTTGTTGTTAAGTGCCATCGAGTCGCAGGCGACTCATAGCGACCCTATGAAGGAGAGTCCTCGACGCTTGGGTGCCTTTCATCCTCTCTCCAGGTTCATAAGGTTTCTGGAGGTAAGCCATTATGGAAGTGGATGCCACTCCTCCTTCCAATTACAGGCTATAGAGGTCCAAAATTATTTATTAATAAATAAGTACTCAGAAGGAGTTGAATGTTAAATGTCACTTTGAAAAAATACATTCTTATGTCTATATCTAGATATATTTACATAAAACCATAAAATAAACAGCATCACAGGAAAGCTGTTTTTATTGTTATATGCTGTCTATCATATAGAATCAAGATCTTGCTGAAAATTATCCAAAAACAACTGGAACAACCTTTCAACAGAGAACTACCAGATGTGCAGGCTGGGTTTAGAAGGGGCCACGACACTAGGAACATGATAGCGAATGTTAGATGGATCTTAGCTGAAAACAGAGAGTACCAGAGGAACACCTAATTGTGTTTCATTGACTATGGAAAGGCATTTGACTGTGTGGATCACAACAAATTGTGCCTAACCTTGAGAAGAATGGGAATCCCAGAACACTTGATTGTGCTTATACAAAACCTATATTTGGACCAAGAAGCAGTCATCAGAACAGAGGAAGGAAACATTGTATGGTTCAATATAAGGAAAGGTGTATGCCAGGGATGCATCTCCACTCCATACCCTTTCAATCTATATGCAGAACAGATGATCCAGGAGGCTGGGCTCTCTCAGGAGGAATGTGGAATCAGGATTGGAGGAAGACTCATCTACAGCTTGTGTCATGCAGATGACACAACCTTGCCAAAACTGAGGAGGACCTGAGGCAATTGCTGCAGAAGGTCAAAGATTCAGCCTTCAATACCAACATCAAGAAAACAAAGATTCTCACCACTATGCTGACTGGCAGCATCATTATAGATGGTGAAGAGATTGAGACTGTTAACACATTCAGTTTGCTTGGTTGCACAATCAAAACTTGGTACCAGTAGCCAGGAAATCAAAAGAAAAATTGCATTAGGAAAATCTGCTGTCAGGGACCTCTCCAGAGTAATGGATGTTAGTCTAGAGACTAAGGTATGCCTAATCCAGGCCATGGTCTTCACAATTACTTGCTAAGCATTAGAGAGATGGACAATGACTAGGAATAATGGAAGAAGAACTGATGTCTTTGAGTTGAAGTTTTCTCCAGAAAGTATTGAACATATCATGAACTGCTAAGAGAACAAACAAGTCTGTCCTGGAGAGGGTGAAATCAGGCCACTTCTTGAAGGCAAGGATTTTTAAGCTCCATTTCACAGACTTCAGACATGTTGGAGAAGGACATCATGCTTGGAAGGATGGAGGGACAGTACAAGAGAGGAAGACCATGAATGAGATGGATTGACTCAGTGGCTGGGGTAATAGGGATATATGTGTCAGAGACAATAAAATTGGCTTGAGATAGAGCAGGGATTAGAGCTGTTGTACACAGGGTCACAAGCAACTCAACAGCATAGAACAATACCAATAGTCAGAACCTACTCATAGCTGACAATTCAGAGTGGTTTTTAGAGGCTGTAAACCACACAGGAAGAGACTGCCTGTCTTTCTCCCAATGAGCTGTGATTTAATTTGAAGTGCCTCCCTTTGGGCTGGCAGCACAACTCCTTAATTACCAGAGCGCCCTGCCACCATAAAAGAAAACGATAGAATAAGCAAACATGCAAAAATAAAACAAACATGTATTCTGTAGGAAACAGAAAACAAACTGTCTGGCCTGGGACAGTGTGTCTGTGAGTCCAGTAGAAAACCAGAGTGGGGTGCCCAATCAGGTCAGAGTTTCTGCTCCTATGAGTAGTAATCAAAGCTCCAATATATGTGTCAATTCATGGGTAGGTAGCACTTCTGGATCAAGGTATATCAAGAGTGTGTCAAGGGATGGGGCACCTTGTTTGGTTCAGAGTTTCTGCTGGCTTCAGAGGAGTCTAATCTAGTCTACCTGGCTAGAGATGGCTTCTTTGCCAGTCTAGAGGACAAATTCCGAAAGGATACCCAGTCAAGAGATTACTAGCATAAAGAGAAAGTCATAACTGACTTGAAATGTACAGGTGTGAACAAATGTGGCCATGGAGTGTGTAAGGTGAAAGGATGTGCAGTAAAAGGGAAGGATGCAATAAGCATCAAAAGAAAATCAAAGATATATAGAGTCCCTATACCAAAAAGAATTGGCCAATAAAAAAAAAAAAAACAAAAAAAAAACAACCAACTTCAGGAGCTGCACTGATGACATTGTCAAAATAAAGGCTCCAGGAACTGATGGAATGCTGGCAGACATATTTCAAACAAACAGATGCAGCTCTAGACAGGCTCACTGCCAAAAAAATTTGGAAGAAGCCAACACAATACCAGGAGATTCTTTGAGACATTGTTAACACATAGAAGACTTTTCAGTTAGGCCATCATAGTAGGAGTCTGCTCAGAAATACATCATCCAACATGAGAGATCAAGAAAAAAAAATTATTTATATATACCTTCACTCACTCACTCACTCACTGACTCCTTGTCATCAAGTCGGAACCATAGCTGACTCTCCAGGGGGGTTTCAGAGGCTACAAACTGCATTGGAGGAGACCATTCATTTTTCTTCCAAGGATTCTCTGGTGGATTTGAATTGCCAAAAAGGTATCACCTTCGAGTTACCAGAGCAACCTCCCTATGGAGTATGTAACCAGAGTTCCTTTATTTTATACATCACCATTCAAATATAAATTGAGTGTGTGTGTGTGTGTATGTATACATATATACACACATACAGATGCACATACACAGACATCTACACAAATAAATGCTCATCTGCAGTTTTCAAAAAGAGTCATCAATGCATTTCCAAAATCTGATTTCCAGGTATCTCCTTTAAGTCTGAGAATCCAGATATGTAGATCTACCACTGGAAGACTGGTGCCCACGTCCCCAGAGGTCTGGCGGCCAAGGACACATGGAGGATGAGCTCACCTTGCTGCCAGAGTGTGAACTGGCTCCAGTCTCCCTTCTCCCTCAGGTTTTCATCCTCAGGCAGGAAGAGGCCCCTGGCTTTGTCCATCACAGCAAGGCCTTCATCTCGAATCAACTTCCAGTTTCTTTCTAAAGACTAAAGGGAAGACTGGTTTTATTGGACTGAAAACATATTCAACAGAACCTCCTATGATGAATCTTAACCTTTTTTTGTTGCTTAAACAAAAACTTTGTTGCTTTCATGTAGATTTCTTATTTCAACATCCTCTGGGACTTCTTGTAAAATGCAGGGGAAAAAAGAAAATAAATTTTTTTTTAAAAAAGCCCAATAAACTTTATATTATTTTCCAGAAGTAAGTAATTTCATATTACAAAAATTTTCAAAGATTCTTAGAAACCTCAGAGAAAATCCTCCTTCATAATTCACAGTTAGATTTGCCTATGGGTGAGGCTATCAATCTTGATTATATTATATTACTAATATATAAATTGTCATAAAAATTAGTTTGGAAACTCATGTAATAATCACAATATACAAACTGGAATACAAATCTCTACCGCTGTTTTACATGGTAAACATGTAACTTTCAAACACATCAGAAAAGCATGTATTGCGGCATTTGATGAATCATAAAACAAAAACAAAACAAATCAAAGAAAGACACTCACACTGTCAAGTCGGTTCTGACCCAAAGCGAGCCTGCCTCGGGGTTCCAAGACTGTAAATTGTGAGGAGACTGCTCATCTTTCTTCAGAGTAGTGTATGGCCTTTGTGTTAGCAGTGCGACTTGCTACGGACTTTACTATCAGAGCTCCCCCAGTCAAGGTAAGAATCATGCTTAGAATATTTCCTTGACTTTTCATTGACTCCTATGCTCTGTACCTTTCAGAAATAAGTCTTGCGAACAGCAATGGCTCAGAGTGTTTGAACTCAGCCTGGAAATCTGACAGAAGAACAAGCAGCCTGGACCTTCTCTGCCTGCAGGCCTCACCACCAGATACTGCAGGTGGCTGGGGAAGCAGAGCAGTGGGGCAGGTGAGAGACAGCAGAGGAAGCAGAGACAGGCAGAATATGAGGAAATACTACTCTCAGGATAAGAGAATACAAACCGCTACCCAACTCCATGAAAAGAGCAAACTGCACAGGATAGACCACGCTTTTGATACATTAGTGAATTCAAACAGTTCTGCATTACATGAGAAGTAGATAGTTACATAGATAAGTATACAACAGCTAATTTCATCAAGAATCAGAGATTGGATACATTTTGAGTGGCTCAAGAACAAGGGGCTAGAATTTCAAAGTTACATCCACAAGGAAAGGTTATTACTAAAAAATTAAAAACATCAACTAGAGCTTACAGAAGATGGACTGAGAGTCTGGTGAAAACACGGCTGTCATCCAAGTTAGTCAAGCAAAGACCACATGACCAGTCACAGAGCAGAAAAAACTGAAAGATGAGAGAGTGTTTTCCCAGCCTGTGCCTTATGGACCCAGGATGCTGTATGTAGGAAAACAGGTTAAGAATTCAGGATGAGTAAATGGGCTAAAAAGCTCCTCTCAGTGATGTGCATGGGTGCTCAGCCAAACCTGAGACACAGTGTGAACAGAAGAGGTTTATGAAAATGTTCTAGAACAAGAGACGGATTTTAAAATAACATACTGATTTTACAATTAAAGATCTGTGAAATGGACAATTGATTTAGTAAAAATATCTATTTTCATCAGATTCCTGGCCACTTGGGGTGGCAGATCAAGTTGCATGCTCAGATTGTCAACCGTTTCACTATTTCATTCCAAGTAGGTAGTCTTTAGTCTCCCTGGGAGAGTAGACATGATTAAGGTGCCCAGCTGCTGACCAACAAAGGATGAGCTCCACCCCCGGGTGCCTCAGAAGAAAGGCCCAGTGATCTACTTCCCAAAACCCAGATACTGGAAAACCTTATGGAGCAGTTCCAGCCGATACACATGGGGATGACATGGATTGGGGGTCAACTCTACAGAAATGGTTAGTTTTGAAAGAGCAAGTCAAAGATGCTATTTAATTATAAAAGAGAGTGCAAAAAAATAAAAAGAGATTCTCAATAATTCTTCAAGTGAGATGATTATTGTTGTTGTGTACCCTCAAGTTGGAACCAACTCATTGCTGACCCTCGAGTGGGTTTCCAGAAGCAGTAAATCACACAGGAGATTACCATCTTTCTCTCACATAGCAGCTGGTGGATACAAACTGTGTGCCATTGGGTTGGCAGGATTTATAAGAATCCTAAGATCATTCAAAAGGAGCAGAAACGCACCCCAGGCTTTTTGCAGTATGTTCACATCTTCACAAATTTGTTAACTTGTTTTGGGTTGCTGGATAAATCTGTGAAGACTCCTATGAAACTGTTACACAGATAAGGGGCAAATTACTGCTCTAGCATATGAAATTACTTTCTGTACCAAGGGCAGGCTCTTCTACTTGCTCTTGAGTTTTCCCACTTTTTAAACATTTTTTTTAATAGCTGAGTTTAGGTGCATAATGGGAAACAGCTGATCTTTCCTTACCTGAATGGAGCACAAAGTCCTAGGGGGAAAATGTTAAAAAGATAATGGGAAAAAAATGTTAAATGTTCCTTAATAACAGCTTGTCATTTGCAGGTGAGACCCAGTCATGCCTCCTTCCCACTCTCCCTGCAGCCTCTCCCCAGAAGTGTTGCTGAGGCTCCTTCCACAAGTTAGTGAAGATTTAAAAAATAATACATTTGTTTCCATCTTCCCTAGTTAGACAAAGCACACATGTGCTGGATGACAGGCTTCTGTGTGTGCACATGTGCTAAACACCACAGGTCTCCAATTTATTTTCATTACAATCAATCACTGATCAGTTTTGCTTTTCAGTTTAATGTTTTGCCATAAAATGTTCAGAACTGGAAGGATCCATAATGCTATTCCAGTGGAAACTTTTCACTTTAGGGATGATGAAATAATTTTTGCAGAGGTTAAAGATTCTGATATATCATGACAAAGCCCTGGTGGAGAGAAACCAGATGTCAGAAACCAGCTCTGATTTCTACCCCTCCATTTTTACAGGAACAATGATGTCAGTGTGAGGACTAGGGTGCACTTGGACTATGGTATTTTCAATCACTTGCTATGTTGCTGAAAGCTAAACAATAAACAAGGATGACAGAAGAACTGAAGACTTTGGGCTCTGGTGCTGGCTGGAATAGAGTGCTGAATATCCCATGGACTGCCAAAAGAATGATTAGGTATGTCTTGGAGAAGGTGCCACCAGAGTGCTCCTTGGAGACAATGAAGCTTTGTCTTACAAACTTTGGGCACATTGCTAGGAGAGGCTATCCTTTTGAGAGGGACATCTTGCCTGGAAAGATGGAGGATCAGTGAAGGAGAAGATGACCCTCAACCAGGTGGTTGAGCAATGATCTCGAGTGTGTCAGAGATTGTGAGGATGGCACAGGATAAAACAAGGTTCAGGTAGGTTGTTCACTAGTTCACTATGAGTACTCCACTTGTTGGCATGTAACAACCAGCGTGTGTGCATGAGAGAGGATCATGTGATCAACAAAGTGTTCAAGCTGGGCAAACTGAGTCTATTGCATGCTGAGCTTCAAGGTGTGGGCTCTAAAATCTAACACGTTTATTTTGAAGAGCAAGAGAGCAATTATGGTTTCCCACAATCACCTCTGTGCAGTCATTTACTTGGTGCTTGCCAGGTGCAGGCGCTTTGGAGGCAATGGAGAAAGCGTGTGACTCACTGTGCACCACAGACAGGGCACAGCACAAAGAGAGTGCACCCTTCAAAGCAGGGAAAACTAGGCTAACCAAAAGTCAGATCTAGTAATATATCTTTATGGTGATACAAAGAAAAACACAAAGATAATGACAACTGTGACCTCTTATATGTTTAATGTCTTTCTCACCCAAAAGAATGATTTTCTCCAATGTTGAAAAGAAATATGTCCATCACATTTATAGACTTAGGGAGAAACCTCTAGAAATGGAATCTGGAGATGTTATTTTTAAGTACAAAGTGAGGAATCACCTTTTATAAAATTCACAAGGTCATCTTAAAAAATATTCCATCATATAATCAGTACCCGACTCACAGCGACCCTCCTTCGGGTTTCCAGGGCCATAAAGTGCATGGCAAGCAACTGTTTTTGTCCCTCAGAGATACTGGTGGATTGAAACCACCAGAGAAACCAAGGCTTTGGGTTAACAGCACTGCTCCGTAGGGGTTATGTCATTAGGGCGCCAACATACATATTCTCTCCCTCTCATGCAGCCAGAGTGGGGACTGACTCACAGCCAGCCCACTAGCAGTTTTCAGAGAAAGTTTTCAGCTTTCAGTAGCACACGGATGAGAAAGCTGGATTTCAAATGCCCGCCCACCTTTGGGTTGGCAGCACAGCTCTTTATTTACCAGGCCACGATGAGTGTAGGAAATAAACGAATTTGCACGGGGGTGGGGGGCGAGGAGGGGGAGAGAGAGAGTGTGTGAGACTGAGAGAAAGAAAGAATGAAAACATGAATTAACTCTATAATGATATCATTTTTTTGTTTGACGGTTGGGGTGAAAAAAGATCCACTAGGAAATTACAGCAACAACTTGCAGTATCTCAGAGCAATGCCAATGTTTTTAAGAGAATCATCTGAAATATTACTTGTTCGGACCTAAATCCACACATATCCCTAATAGGTCATTACCAAATGCTCTTTCCCAGTCTGTGGCTTCCCTTTTTACCCTGTTGGAGAAGTTTTTGGATGTGCATAGGGATTTGATTCTTAGAACGTCCCATTCATCTATTTTATCTTCTCCAGGATACTTGCAAGACTGTTTATGTTGTGGATTAGGATTTCTAGAGTTCTGCCAAGCTTTTCTTTAATGAAGTTTACAGTCCTTGGTTTTAGTCCCAGGTACATGATCCACCTTGAGTTGGTTTTTGTATGTGGAGTAAGGTGTGGATCTTGCTTGAGTCTTTTGCAGATACTTTTTCAATTTTGCCAACACCATTTGTTTAAAAGGCTGTCGTTTCCCCACTTAACTGATTTCATCTCTTTGCCAAAAATCACTTGACCAAACATAGATGGGCTGATTACCGGGTTGTTAAAATTCTATTCCATTGATCTAT